AATGCACACACTCACACAATTACATGTTTTCTCTCTCTCTCTCCCTCCCCTCTAGCTCCTTCTGCTTTCTCTCTTTCCTTCCGTTTTCTTTCTCTCTCCTCTTCTCTTTCTCCTCCCCCACTCTCTCTTTCCTTCCGCTTATCTCTACCTCTCTTCTTCTTCTTCTCCATTATCTCTCCTTTATCTCTCCCATCTTCTCCTTTTTCTCTCTCTCTGCTTTTCCTCCCCTTTTTCTTTCTCTCTCCTTTTCCTCCCCTTTTTCTCTCTCTCCTCTTCCTCCCCTTTTTCTCTCTCTCTCCTCTTCCTCCCCTTTTTCTCTCTCTCTCCTCTTCCTCCCCTTTTTCTCTCTCTCTCCTCTTCCTCCCTTTTTTCTCTCTCTCTCCTCTTCCTCCCCTTTTCTCTCTCTCACCTCTTCCTCCCCTTTTTCTCTCTCTCTCTTCTCTTCCGCCCCTTTTTTCTCTCTCACTCTCCTCTTCCGCACCTTTTTCTCTCTCACTCTCCTCTTCCGCACCTTTTTCTCTCTCACTCTCCTCTTCTTCCGCACCTTTTTCTCTCTCTCTCCTCTTCTTCCCCACCTTTTTCTCTCTCTCTCCTCTTCTTCCCCACCTTTTTCTCTCTTTCTCCTCTTCTTCCCCACCTTTTTCTCTATCTTTCTCTCTATCACCCCAACCAATTTCATGTCAGTCCCAAGTATCAAGGCTAAAGTGTTAAGATTGGGATTTTTAAATATACCTGCTTCTGGGAAGGACTTAAAGTGCAGTAATTGTTTTCCCAATCAATAGGTTTTGTATTGCTCCAAGTTTAATATAAGTGCTCCTGATTTTGATGCCAAGCTTCCTGCTTGAACTTCTTCTGAAATTTTAAAATTGCACTAACATGAATTTGTATATTTGATTCAAAAACTAAATTTAAAGCTGCATTATTGTATAATTGGTAGAAAAATATTTTGGGATTGAGATGTTATATATGGAATTAGAAATGAAATTAACACTGTATCAATATATAAAGATGTATTTCGTGAAGTCCTAGAAAGTGCTGGTAAATATGTGCGTATATCTATAGATATGTTATTAAAAATATGTTGGTAAAAACGGGTCCATGTAAAGAGTATCAGTGACACTAAAGTGTCAAATGACTCATCACAACCAAGAAATATTACTACTCTCTCAAGTTACCATACTTTTTTTCAGAATTTGGATCATCTCATTTCCATTTTTGTCTTTGGCACTTGATATGAGGAGAAATATACTTCATTTGATATTATAGATTATTTAGTACAATAGAATATTATTACTAGAATAGTAGAATCTACTAATTGTTAAAGGCTCAGAAAAAGAGAAGCTTTTTGTTAAAAGATAACAATTTGAGAAAATAATTGTATTTCAGCTGTGTCATTTTACTAATGTCTTTCTTGACCTCTTACTTAGCCATTTACTGTCATCAATTTTAACAAAATAAGATAATCAATAACATTATTGGAAATAAACAGACTTCTTTTCTAATTTTTCTAATGAAAACATGAATCTGAATACATTAAAAATTGTCATTTTACATGCTTTCTGTATAAATTATGCAAATCTTTTCTTTTAAGAAGAGATTAAGTCATTGCTCATTTTTGTATTGTTTTGTTAAACCTAGCACAAATTATGGTTTCAAGAAAGACAATTATTTAAATAAAATATGAAAAAAACAAATATTAAGTTAAAGTGCAGTTTTCTTTTGGGGAATATTATAAAAATGTATTCCTCAGCTTGGCCTGACTGAGTTTACTTATGATTGCATTCAGTTGCATTAACTTTGCGAATTTATGAATCTATTTAAATGCCTGCACTTATAGATCTGTCTATGGATACACACATGTACTAGATTATATTTGCATTTTTAAACATATCTGTGTTGGGGTTTAAAATATTAGTCTGCATAAATATCTATTTGTATACATGCTTGAACTTTACCCTGATAAAATACACAAAAATATGTGCATTTGTAAGTGTGTCTGTGTGTGTGTATATATATATATATATATATATATATATATATAGAGAGAGAGAGAGAGACACACACACACACACACACAAATATTAAGAATAAAAGGTAAAACTTAAAATAAGCTAAAAGCTTAAGATATAAAAACAAATTGAAGGCTCAATGCCAAAATCGACAGAGCCTAAATATAATAATATTATCAAAACCAAAATCTGCTACTCAAAGTTTCATGTAATAAATCATCATGCTGAACTCCTGGAAGTTCCATCTGATGATTGTTATTACATGAAATTCTGAGTAGTAGATTTTAGTAATGATATTATATGGAGTGTCGAATTGGATGATATCCATCTAGGTATATCACATGTCAAAAATTTAAAAAAAAGAAATTTAAGGCTAATATTGTTGTATCTTCAATGTTTCTTGATGTGAAATTGCAACTAGTGTTTGTCATATTTCTCCTCCTCTAGTGATGAAATGTGTAACATTTGTATGAGTAGCTGTGTAAAGAGTAGGAGTGGGTCTCTAACAATAATTGATAATCAATGTTACTATCCCCACACCCATATTATGAAGAACTTTTTTTTGTCTATTACATACCAAACTTGAGGGCTTCAATGAAACAGTTTATCCATGTATAGTGAACAAACTCTTCCCAGTTCTATATATTGATCTTAAAGTTATTTGTACCACTACATTACACAGGTTAATTCTTTTAATTGAAAATGTTAAAAATTCTATTTTTGTTACAGTTTTTTTTATTTTCTTTCACATACTAACATCTTTCTCATTTGCTATTGTGAACGATGCTCTGTTTTTGTTAATTGTGATCTTTGCTGGCCAATAAAGGCACCTTTGTATAATATGAATGTTGTTGGTCTTGTCTCAAAGATAAAAAGCTTCTCTATCTATTGAGAGATTATTGATAACATTTGGATGTTATTTTTTTTTATTCTTTCTCTGAAGGATACACTAAGTAAATGGTTGTATAATTAAGGGGTGCCTTTGCATTGGTTCACAAGGATTGTTTGGTTGATGATTACTACCAAGTAGTGAATTTGATCCTCACTGGGTGACCCATACAAAAATTTAGAATTTAAAAAATACTTAACAAGGGTTGTCATGTTGTAAAATCAACTAACCCAGCCATAAAAAGTAAAATAATCATTATCAGCCTAAAAATATTTTATATCATTTTCTTGCCATCCAATCCCATAAAAACCCTGTCAGTACCAAGATGGGTGACTGTTTGGGAATACCAGGAGTTGTAAGCTTGGATGTGCAGGTAGTGTAATGGATAATGGCTTTGAAGTGTTAATCGGAGAACCGAGTTCCAATTCCATTTGGGTCTGTTATATTCACGTACACACAAATACCCTTGGAGAAGGTATGAATCCACCACTTCTCCCTCCAGCTATGGGTTAATTAGTAAGACTTGTATCAGTAAATCATTATTATCTTCAAAAATTCTTACAATCTAAAATATTTTCTAGCTTAAATAACCCACAATGGGTTGATAAACCATAAAAAAACAAATTAATCAATCAATAATCCCATAAAAAGGTTTTACATCACAATAAAGAAAAGAGTCTCTATATAAAATACTTGTTTGTTCCTCTCATCATCAATAATTTTAAAGCAATAAATTGAATTAATAGTGAAGTCTGTACCAGAAAGCATAGCCTTTTTAACAGGGATAGATTCCTCTGAAATATGACCAAAATTACATTCTTTTGTTTGTATCTATAAATTTAATGACCATGATTATTTTTTTAACTCTTAATCTTTTTATCAACTTTAAATGTGTTTAATACTTGGTATTCTGGAAGATCCTCAAATTGTCAGTTAACCAAGAATTATAAATGTTTTGGTGCAGCAAATTGCTAGCCATATTTTTTATTTTATTTTTTAATCATTTCGCCCCAAACACGGCAATAATGTCACAAGGGTGCAAGGGGTTACTGGGTGTGAAAGAGAATAAGAAGACTTTAATGAAGAGGAAAGGCAATAAAAGAACAGGAATAAGGAAGACAAAAGATGGTGATTATCATAGGTGGCAAGGAAGCAAGAAATTGGAAGGAAGTTCCACAGGCAAGTGCGCAAGAACAAACTATTAGAATAGAACATACAGTTGCATCTAGCTGTTTTAATAGTAAAATGGTGAGACCTAGTTGCCAATCTAGTAGCACAATTAAATTCATGCAGTTGAGGTATCAAGTAAGAAGAATTGCCATGAAAATATTTATAGAAAAGGCAAGATAATATCATTTGATACCAAAATCTGTCACTTAATACAAAACATTTTTTCATGCTGAAAATAATAGCTTCTCTCTGTCAGAATGGCATGATATTTTCTATCATGGATAGTGTTGGCTGTTCACTGATACAAAGAGTCCATCTGATTCACTGTCAATAGACACTGATTAAAAATCTGCTTCCATTTGCTTGACTCTATGAGAAACATTGACATGTTTCAGATTGGCTAAAATACTTAATACAGTTAATGTCAGTTGTTCATTTGTAACTTTAGTTTTAATTAGATTTTCTTAATGTTTATTACAGCATTGAATAGCTCTCCAAATTAGATCAAAGAATTACACCATTTCTCCAGAAGAAAAATATCCATGATTACCTTTCATATTTGGGATATTAATAGAACTGAGATTATTCAGCAAAGAGTTTTTGGGGGTTTTTTTTTTAATCTTTCTATTTGTTACCTACTTTGGGAAAAGATTAACATAATCAAAGTTATTGAAACAAATAATAGTGGATTAAGTTTGTTTTCTTTCTTTTTAAGCTTACTCATGTACTTGTATTGTGTAGGTCATATGAATGGACAATTTTTTTAAATTATTTTGTTTGATAGTTTGTAAAAGCTACAAAGTTTTAATAAATATTCTGTTTTATTAATCTTTATATAATTTACTATAGATATTACTAATCCTTTTTTGCCCCCTCCAATCATTCCAGAAATTATTCCATTTTTGGTAGGGTTTAAAAACAGAGGAGACTGAAAAGAACAAAAAGGAAAAAACTTATCTCTCCTGTACCTTCATAAAAAGAACAGTAAACAGCAAATGTTGTTCTTAATAAACATATGGTTAAATCATACTGTCTTTTAGTTAATTCCAAAAGAAATAATGCTTGACTCTTTGTGATCCAGAGAATAACCTATATATTCTGTATTCCCCTTTCTTTACAGTACATTTTTCGTGTGAATATTAATGAAAAATTATCAGCAATCTCTAACCTTTGTGCCCACAAAAAAAAAATGTGTCAATTATTTTGCCTACCTTCACAATGTTATTGTTTTAAAAAGCTATGATAAGAATTTTAATAAAACCTAAAAATATGAAAGTAAATTTAATAATTTTTTTGTTCTTGAGAATTTACAACAAAAATATTAATCAATATTTATTTATTAAATTGTTTATTTACAAGAATAATTTTATATTTACAACATTCTAAAAACTGATGTCATTGTATTAAAATTAATGCAGTGCAATATTTATCATTTAAATATAAATATGAAAACGATTTTTTTAAAATTTAGAAACATTTACTAAAATATTAAAATAGTTGAACCAACTAGAAGGAAATACTTGTTTACCATTTTATAAAGTTTGAATTGATTGGCAATTAACCAATCTTTTGTCAACCATTCCAATAAACAATCTAAAATAAATAGAGTTTATTATTTTTTTTATAAATTCTGAAGATCAAAGAAAATGTATATAAATTCACTTTCATATGTTTAGGTTTTATGAAAATTCTAATCATTTCTGACAGAGTGAATGTTGTTAAAATAATAACAGTGTCATGGGAAAAACGGTCCTTTGGGCTCACCTTTTTTCTTTCTTTTTTTTCTTTTTTTTTTTTTTTCAGGTCTGAAGGGTTAAAGATTGCCAAATCATCATTGATTTAGTTTGTATATTATTTATGGTTTATCACAGATTAGGAAACAAATTTAAAGCATTTTATTTTGCATTTTTAGTGCCTATCTTATTGGTTGATTGATTTTTAATTTTCTGCACATTCCATGCCAAGATTATATTGTGTAACTTTTCTTTTCTTTACATATTAAGCCTGTTTGAAAGCTCATAAATTGAAACAAAAATATTTTCAATAGTTGGGCATTTTCATTTTGTTGCTTCAGTGCTTTTCATCATTTGTGAATAAACGAAACAACTCTTTATTGTACCGATATGGTATTTTTGACCAGTAACTTTTGAGTTTAATTTATGTGCACATTATTTACTACTTTTATTCTTCTCAATTTTTTCCTGTTTGTCTTGTAATATATATATATATATATATATATATATATGTGTGTGTGTGTGTGTGTGAAAAAATGTGCATATATATATATATATATATATATATATATATATATGAGAAAAAAATAAATAGATAGATATATGAATGAAAAATGTGTGTGTATATATATATATATATATATATATATATATATATATATATGCATGAAAAAAAACTATAAAAGTAGTTTCTTGATATCTGTAAGATAATACGTCATTGGTATCCATGGATTTGTTTAGACTATTGTCTTCAAGATTACATCCTTCTGCAGCCATATAGGAACAGAACCCTCTCATTGATATTGGCTTTCCTAATACAGTATGACCCATAAATATTTCAGTGTAATTTGATTGTTGTTAGAAAATTAAATTATTTAATTTCTTCCTAACAATGAATTGTGACTTTCAGTGGAAGTAATGAACTATTGCTAAGAAATAATCACAATCCATCTCCTGATGAGGGGATGGATTATAAACTCCAAACCCTAAATACTGAATACTTTAAAAAATGCAGATAATAGTTTGAAACAAATCAGATACCTTATTAGTGATATTTAGTATGCTCTTTACTCTTTCACTCTAATAAGCTGTTATGTTTATCTTGCATGTTTTGTTTTTGTTATGGAATTAACTGTTGTCATTTTTCTTTCTTTCTTTCTTTCTTGAAAAAAAAAACCCCACCTCTTTTTCTTTTCTTCCCCATCTTTGCTTTTGTTTGAGGTAAGTTCATTTACAGTTTGTCTCTGCCCAATAATTGACCAACATTTTAAACCTGAAGGTTTATGCACCAAACTGCACCCAGCTGCTGGAAACCTTCCACACTCCCAGGAACATCCAATCAGCGGAGTTGTCTGTGCAGAATTGGATTTACCTAATTTCTCTCTCTCAAGATACAGATAGCAAGAAACCTCAGTTGCCGAAGAAAAAAAAAATATTTTTACCTTATTGCAAATATCTCTAAAATCTAAGGAATTTATTATTTATTTCTACAAACTCCCAATAAACAAAGTTGCAATAAGAACAAAAGAGAAAGAAAATCACTTTTCATCCAAATTATAATAGAAATATTTTTCATTAAATTTTGAAAATGTGTTTACTCTCTCTCTCCAGTGATCCTTATTGCTCTATTGTAGTAAGGTGTCCATTCTGTATAAAAAAAAAAAAAAATTTTTAGAAAAAACACTTCTTTTTCATTTTGGAAGATTGCTCCATCCTTAGCATTACTTTTATTGCCTAGTCAATAATTTAATTATTGATTGGCAGATAAAAAGCTTGTCTGACTAAAAAAAGAGAAATTAGTTTGCACAGAACAGACCAAGAAACATATGATAAGTACTGTGTGCTATCAAGTTCATCTACTGAGAAGTTAGGCAGTTATTGTAATTCAGTTTCTCTTGCTAACATCCTTATGTCTTGTAGTGTTTTTAATCTAAACTGAATATGCATCAAAGCAAATACAGATTAACCAACAAGTAGTTGGTATGCACTGAGATGCCTCTAAACATAAAAGATCCATTTAAACTTGCTAGAAAATTTGACAGCGTTAGTTTAAGTATTTATTTGTATGTCCACCTGGTACAAAGTCTGACACCTGCTCAAGTTTAAAGTGGGGCTCCACACATATGTTACAGTGTTAACTTATGAAATCAAATACGCAATAACATTGAAGCATCTTTAACTACCTCCATAACCCCCTAGGGTTCTAGTGTCATCACATATACTGCAGCCATAGCAGTGGTGTTTCATGGGCATTCCAGGCTGGTTTGAATTCAGAATTTTTCTTCTCCTAGACAGGTTGCCAACCAAGGCTATAGAGCACAATTTGTATTGCTATTTACCAATTTTTGTGAGGAAGAGCTCAATACAGACCCTTTCCCAAGGGTATTAGCATGTAAGTGGATGTAACAAACTTGACTAGAATTTGAACTCAGCTCTTCATTTCCTCAATCTGAGCTGCTACTGGAAAGTCTTCAAGAATCTGTAAAGGTGGAGAGTTACAACTTTTAAATTACCTGAAGTTGCATGCAAAAGTCTCTCTGAATGTATACTAGAAAGATGGCTAAACCATCATCTATTGGTCATTGGTAGTTATAATTCAAAAATAAAGGAAAAAAAAAAAAAACAATCAAAGAATCTTGGACAATAAGTGTAAGTGTTGTTTGATCCAAAGTTTTAGACCACTAGAATTATAAATCATATCAACCAGAGATTCTCTCTCATTTTCTCAACGGATAGTCTCGGTGGACAAAATGAACTCTTGAATAAAGTATCAGACAAAGTGAATTGAAAGTCACATAAAACAAAATCAAGGTAATTATACCCTCAATGTCTTAGACAGAGTGTGTTCTGAGTAAAATCTCATCAGACTAATTCTATATATAATAAAAACTACATATGCAAATAAGGTCAAAATGAAATTTTACTAGTTTAGCTTCATAGAAGTTCTTAAGTCAAATTTACAAAGAAGTGCATATTAAAGATTTTTCTCCGAATCCATTTATTTCTAGAGTAGCACATCCAGTTAAATATACAGAGAAATCTGTTCCTATAAAATTTTTAATCTAATCTTTTAGCAAAGTGAATTCATGAAAACTAAGTCTTAGATAATTGATAAGTAATGAACTAAAATAAAGTATTTGGATGAAGAGGTAGTAACCTAGTATTTTATTTATTTATATTTTTAAAAGACTGCCTTGGAATTTAATCTAAATATACTTATTCTTATTGCTGATTTTTTTTTTTTTTTTTTTTTTTTAAGAATATTTTGAGATAAGAAGCTACATATTGAAAATGTTTTCTATAACTTAGAACTATTTTCTGAATGTTATTTTTCTGCTTGTATAGCATTAATTATTAAGTTGTGAACATTATTCACACGCGAGCCTGTATTCAATCTCCAATATGACAAGAAATCTCTTTTCTGTCTACCTTCATTTGAATACAGTAACTAATATGTTTTCTGTAGGATATCAAAGACTAATCAAATTAGTTGAAAAGGGATAATCCCTTGTTTCCTGTTTGGGCTTTCAGTTTTTTCTAAAGTCTACTTCAGCTTTATACTTCTAATGTCTCTGCCTAAACTCTGAAATTTTATTTACTATTTATTTATTTCCTCAATAGTAGTCGATAGGTTTGCCTATTGTTTGTTTCACACTCCTCCCTAGTCATTTAAACAAGAGTTGTTTCCGACTTAGGATTGAGTTTCCAATTCCTTCTTCCTAGTAGCCCCTTGTGTCTTAGTGGCTTTATCACCTTGCTTGAGGTGAAAAAACAAAAATAAGGATATTTGTACCTCCAATAACAAGTATGAGTTGTTAACTTTTAAAATAATATCTCTCCAAGATTTATTGAATAATTCCTGACATGACATCCAGAAGAATTGTTCAATAAATCTTGATGAGTGAAGAAGAGGACAGTGTGAGAGAGAAACTTTATTTCTTTGGGTTTCAGCCTGCATGTCCTTGACAATAAATCTTCCTTTTCTAACCAAACATTACAGGTTGGGATGGTCAGGGTGAATGATATCAAATTCTAAACAGTGGTTCACCTTGACAGCTCTCTTTTTAACTTTTTTTGTTTTTACTTTTCACCTTTTTGTTATCATTCTGTTTTCTCTTGGTATGTCTTTCTTCATCTCTATAGTTCTTCTGACTTTACCTGGTTTTTCAGACTGCTCTCACTCGAAGCGTTCCGGCATGTCCTCTATTGTCATGACCTACCTCCATGTCAAGCGCATATCTAATATGTTTTTGATGTGCTCTCGACATGGTCCCACTTATGTATTAGATGACGAAGCACCTCTTGGCCCTGGGGACAAAGAAAATGAGGAACTGGATCTTGTCAAGCCTGCTGCTGCTGCTACTACTACTACTTCCACTGCTGCTACTTCTACTACTACTACTGCTGCTGCTGACCATCATCACCACCACTACCATCATCATCACCATTTTCATCACCACCATCACCACCACTTCTTCCATTCCTTTGACAAATATGAACCACTGCCTTCAACAGAAGGTAAATTGGCCCTTAACCATTTGATGATGACAATGATGATGATGGTGACAACCACCACACTAACAATAGGAGGCTATGGATTAAGTGCTACAATATACTACCTGACTTAACACTGTCTTTTCAATGAATTTTATAAAATTAATTTTCAAAGATGGTTTACAAGGACCTCAGAAAATTTAATTATTCTTATGTCTGTATCAGATTTCAAAGTATCTCTGTAAAATCTAAGACTAATTTTGCTAAAATAGTCGTTGATTAGTCAGACTCTTGCCTTTCCATTCTGCCTTTGCTTATTATCCCCTTAGATATAGTTCGAATTGTACAATTACAAAACTTACATTGTCTTTGCATAGGCACAAGTTTCATTATAATATGATAAATACTCAGACGCCATAATTTTATATATATATATGTAAATTATATGCATATCTGTATGCAAAATACAGTGTGTATATATATATATATATATATATATATATATATATATATATATATATATATATATGTGTATGTATGTACATGCATACAGACTTGTGCAGCATACATTTTTACTTCACTGTCAGATAATAACAGTATTCTGCATGTAAATGAGATACCATATTCCTGTCTGAGCCTTAAGCAACATAAAACAGATGATTAATTTTCTTTTAAGTGATTTTTGTGAAGAAAACCTCATGAAAGTCTTCAGCCTGTGAGCAAATGAAATGTCAATTCTTTTCATAGAATCTTGGAGACTACAATCAACAGCATGTGCCATACACTTAAGCTAGATGCACCAGTTTGTTCCCAAGCTATATTAATGAACACATATGTTCCTCATGCCTTATGTGTGTGTGCATGTATATATATATATATATATATATATATATATATATATATATATATATATATATATATATGTACATGCACACGCATGCACATTTTAATTGCCATAAATTTTTCTGTAGCATTTATAGTTTTTTTCTTCTTTCCATTCAATTTTATTAATGCAGTATAATAGATGCATACAATTTTTTTTTTCTTTTTAACAGCCCTTTACATAGTTCATCTCAAAAGTATATACTTGAGTAAACCATCTTTACACTTTTATTCAAGGTTTTCTTCCTTTGGTTGGGATGAAATTGATATCCAAATGATTTCAGGTTTTGATAAAAATGATTATTGACATAATTTCACCAGGTGTTATAGACAGATGAATTTTGACATATTCCTAATTTGTATATTTTCCAAAGATTTCATTAAAAAATATTTATTTATACAGTGTACCATATAGTAATAATTCTGTTTTGATAGCTTAATTCCTGTCATGCCATTTTCAGCATTTCTAAACAGTCTGTCACTGTCTCTTGGTGTCCAGTTTTCATCCATATGTCACAAGGATGCTAATTGTAAAGGACATGACAATGAAATGAAAAGCTGGAGATTTAAATCCGAAGCAAATGTCATGAATTTCTCAAAAACTTGAAATTCCACCTTTTATTTCATTGACACAAACAATGTCCTTAGTATTTGTATGGATTGTGTATCATTTTATAACCTGCTATACAGAATTGCAGATGATTTGTATATTAAGACTGTAGAGTGACATTTTTTTTTTTTTGTTTTATAATTAGAAATTAATATTGAATTTTTTTTTAATTTTTAAAAATAGAAATTAACATGTTAAAAATCTTCTGAGATGAGGTATTTTAACTATTGGGGACAACATGGCCCAGTGGATAAATGTGTGGGTTGAAGTAATCCAAAAGGGACTTGACCCAAAGACTTGTGAGTTCAATGACCAAAAACTTGGAGAGTTGAGTTACTAAAGGGAATTAACTGATACTGAGATATTGAGAAAAGGCATGGCATGTGGAACTGGAACAATCTACCCACTTGGACTAAATAAAGGTTTTTGTTCAAAATTCCAACGTATATCACCTGAAGAATGCCGAAGCGTACAACAGCCCAAAACATCATGAATGCGACAATGAAGATGACAACAGTCCAAACAATATAAATAGTATAAATAGTTATCAAACTTGTCAGTTCATTGGAACCTGATATTCTTAACTTCAATCATTTGGGACTAAGCAAATCTATAATCCCAAATCTTATACATAAGTAGCATCTACATTAGAAGATTATTATTAGAAAAAGTATTGTCAAGTTGTTTCTAGCTATGAGTGACTTAAATCTAAACTCATAGGTAAAATGTGGTCTACCACCACATCATGTTGAAACACTAATTCTCATAGAATCAACATCAAGACTGGTCAGTACCTAAATGGGTGACCGCTTGGAAATACTGTAAGCTTGGATGTGTCGGTGGTGTAATGGATAATGACTCGGAATTATTAATAGCGGAGCCAATTTACTGTACGATGACCGAAGTTAAGCAACGTTGAGCCTGGTTAATACCTAGATGGGTGACCGCTTGGGAATAACAGGTGCTGTAAGCTTGGATATGCAAGTGATGTAATTGATAACAGCTCAAAATTGGAATTCAGAGAGCAGAGTTCCACTTCCAGTTGGGTTTGTTATACTCACTTACATGTAAATACCTTTGGGAAAGGTGTGAATGTACCTCTTCCCCCACAGCTATAGGTTGATAAATAGGACTTCTCTCATTAAATTGTTATTATCTCAACAAAAAAAATTCTTACTATCTAAAAATTATTTTTTGGCTTTAAATAACTTTGAAAAGGTTGATAAACTGTAAAAAAACAAATCAATCAAAGGTAAATTTTATGCCAGAAAATTAGATGCTGTCCAAATCTCCTATTTCTGTCCAAAATTTTATGTAATCTTTGGGGGTTGAAAACTTATTTTATATGGCAAAAACTGCAAGTAAAATAAAGCCCGTTTGGAGGATTAGGGTCTAGGTTTGCTACAGGCAACAAACTGATTATCTTGTTACGTATACAGCAAAGAAATTCTCTTTCCCAATAGTTGTACAGGGTGGTGTTGGTGAAATACCTTCCACATAATGGTAAGACATTAGCTAAATGAAGACACCATTGCCACTAATGTCTCACCATTATGTGGGAGGTATTTCACCACCACCACCCTGTATAATCTTATTGAATCTACTGATTTGAAATAAGTTCAGTTCCATTGATTTAAGAAACAACATTTACAAAAAAATGGGTCTTAGGTACTAGAAAATTTGTATCCTTGTTCATAAAAAACAATGTTTTCTCTTTTCATTGATAATTTTAGGGAACTTGAATTGCACCTCTGCTTAAACCCTACAATTTCATTATGTTTCCTCATTGGCTTGTATCATGATCCTTACTGTGATTATAGATGCTTTGCACCATATCCTAGGAATCGCATGGGCATTTTTTTATTTTTTCATTTCACATAAGGCGCAAAATGGAAGAAATGGTTTTAACAGCAGCAGCAGCAGCAGCAGCAAGAACAACAGCAGCAGCAACAGCAGCACGTATTCTTCTACCTTAAGTATTTTGGATCGACTTTTTTCACCTACCATATCAAAAGAATGATCCAAATTAAATCCAACCAAACTTGTAGTTTTTGTTTTCTTAGATGAGAAACATAATGTGTGCTCGTGGGAGGAATATATATAATTAGACAAAAATATAGAAGTAATTTATTAAAAAGATCAAATAACTATTAATACTGGGACACGCTCTATGTATAAGGGGATGCTGAAAAAGATTTTGACCTAATCCACTTCTCAAAATTTTTTAAACTTATTTATTTTATTTAAGGCCAAGAACTTTTCAGAAACCCCCATGTGTTTCATGTATGCATGTAACTCTATATGGGTGCGTGGCCAAGTAGTTAGAACGTTTTCCTCCCAACCACGAGATCTGGCTCAAATCTCACCCTGGTCAATTTGTCAGGGAAGTAACAAATTGACCCTGTTGATATTATAGCCCTGGGGAGGCAATCCCAGTGTGTGGCACCATAGAAAAGTTTTTGAAAACCATATCATGGGTTGCCCCAAGCCTTGTGAGTGAAATTGGGTAGATGGAGCTATTCAAAATCTGTCAATGGCTGTGCTAACACAATGTCACAAGGGTTTGAGTGTATTAGCTTTATTCAAACTGGTGCACTCTCTCCTAGACACTAACTACGGTCCATTCAGTTGCAGTATAAATCACAGGTGGATTCCCTGAGTGTTGAACAAACATACCTGAACAGGCATCTACAACAGGGATTGGCTGGTTGCCCTAGTAGGCAGGTGTACTCGGAAACAAGCAACTGACCATTATTATTATGTGTATATCTGTACATGTATGTGTGTATATATATTTTTATAATACTAAATAACTGTTTTTCCACTGATCTGGTTATTAGAACCTCTTAATATCTGAAATGTATCTCCATCTGTTATTCGAGTAAGTGATATATCCTGTAGAAATGATGCCAAGTGAAGAAATTGACTCCATTAGATATGAGCTTGGCTTCATCATATAATCTTGACCTTCAACTGCTCTGCCACAGAGACTTAAAGATAACAGTTCTCTTACTGAGTATCTGTAAAAAAAAAATTTTTTTGTTCTTAAATATCTCCTACCTAATATCAAATGTGCATGAATTTTTTTCAGCACAATCAAGCATACATACCTATTCTAAAATATAGATTTGGAATGAACATTATTTAAAAATATTATGTCATGCTTTTGTAAGTTAATACTTTATTATTCCAGGAGACGTCCGGACTATTGAA